ATAATTTAATTTTAGGTGTGAATACAAATATGTTTATTGTTGACTTTCTTTTTATTATTTCGTGTCTTCAGGCATGGGAAATAACTAGTATATATATATTTTTCAATATGTTATAAATTTAATTAAAATAATTTATATATGATAAGAACTAAAATGAGGAGAGACATCTCTGATGTGAATGAGTCTACGATATTAATTTTTTTTTGGATATTGTATTAAAATTTATTAATACTGAGAATCACGTTACACCTTAAAAAAATTAACAACTAAAATTATTTTTGGTCAATCATGAAATTAATTTACTTAAAAAAAATTAAAAATTAAAAATATTTTTGGAGCAATGTTATACAATTATTAGATTAATTATGAGTTTCATTACTAGATAAAACCCACTTTTGATTCAATGGCTACACTAAATTAAGCCATTAAATTTGGTCTCAATAGTCAATAGTATTTTTTTATTTTGTATGATCAATCACAACATTTTAGGATCAATTATAAATTTTTAAGTGATAATNTGTATGATCAATCACAACATTTTAGGATCAATTATAAATTTTTAAGTGATAATTTAAATTGTCAAAAAAATTATAACAGGAGAAGTCTATGGTACCGAATTTTTTTTTCGTAATGCCCCGTCTAATTTTTACCCCTTTTATGGATGATTTTATAACAAAAAAAATTATAATTTTTGTGGGTGGTTTGTAACTTTTGTTAGCATCGATTGTAAGTTATCAAAAAAAGCAATAAAAATACTCATAAAAATTATAAATGATAATATGATACATTGATACCGAAGTTTTTTTTTTTTTTTTTTATGGGTATGTAGACAACTCCCATTTTTAAAAATAGGGCTAATAATCGAGCCAAACTATTTAAATTTAGCTCGGATAAGACTCAATTCGAGCTCAGCTCGTGTTTTACTGTACCCATTTTTAAGACTCGACTCATTTATATAGAAAATAATTGAACTATTCGGATTTGACTTAAGTTTGACTTTTTATGGATTCAATTTATTTTCTAAATAAATCGAACTTAAATAATTTTTTAGATTCATTTAAAATAATAAGCTTGACAAATTCGACAGACTCGACTTAATTTCACAAAACTCAATTATCAGCCTATTTAAAAATAAGGAGAATTACACCCAAATCCCTTGAAGTTTGTATGTGCATAATACTTATATCCCTGCCGTTTAGTATATCTGTCAGTATATTACATTTAGACTCTGAAATTTGTTAAGACCTCTAAAGTTTAAAATGTTATACTTAGATTATAAAAACTTCAATCAAAGATAGAATATTAAATATTTTAAATTTTACAATTAAAATTCATGTTTTATTGTATCATTTATTGAAATAAAATTAAAAAATAAAAATCTATTTTTTTCTTAAAAAATCGTAAATAATATACAATTATACTATCTATTGAATTAAAACTAAAAAAATTAAATAAGAGGTATAAGTCATTCATAATAGAAAATGAATTTTACAATCAAAATTTATGTTCTATTATATTATTTATTGAAATAAAATCAAAAATACAAATTTAATTTTTTTGATAAAAAATCATAATTAATATACAATTATACTATCTTTGGAATAAAATTAAAAAAATCAAATAAAGGGTCAAACTGTAATAGACACAATATCTTTTATCTTTAATTGAAGTAATTTGGTAGTTTAATTTGGTCGTTTAAATGATCAATTAAATTTCAATAGATAATATAATTGTATAGAAATTATAATTTTTTTAAGAAAAAATTAGATTTTTATTTTTAATTTTATTTCAATANAATACTCATAAAAATTATAAATGATAATATGATACATTGATACCGAAGTTTTTTTTTTTTTTTTTTTATGGGTATGTAGACAACTCCCATTTTTAAAAATAGGGCTAATAATCGAGCCAAACTATTTAAATTTAGCTCGGATNTTTTTATAACAAAAAAAATTATAATTTTTGTGGGTGGTTTGTAACTTTTGTTAGCATCGATTGTAAGTTATCAAAAAAAGCAATAAAAATACTCATAAAAATTATAAATGATAATATGATACATTGATACCGAAGTTTTTTTTTATTTTTTTTATTGGTATGTAGACAACTCCCATTTTTAAAAATAGGGCTAATAATCGAGCCAAACTATTTAAATTTAGCTCGGATAAGACTCAATTCGAGCTCAGCTCGTGTTTTACTGTACCCATTTTTAAGACTCGACTCATTTATATAGAAAATAATTGAACTATTCGGATTTGACTTAAGTTTGACTTTTTATGGATTCAATTTATTTTCTAAATAAATCGAACTTAAATAATTTTTTAGATTCATTTAAAATAATAAGCTTGACAAATTCGACAGACTCGACTTAATTTCACAAAACTCAATTATCAGCCTATTTAAAAATAAGGAGAATTACACCCAAATCCCTTGAAGTTT